CCAGGAGGGCTTGTAGCATTCTTATGAACTTTTGGTAAAGTATAGAATACTGATGTAACTGAAAACTTGTTTAACAAAAAAAGAGTATTGTGATGGGGTAATGAGTTTATTATCCAGGACCTGGTCTAGGACAGTAGTTATAATCTTAGAGATATGTTCTGTAGGATTATTTTTAAGTATTCTATAGTTTGTTCTATCAAGCAGATCTATATTGGGCTACAAAGGTCAGAACAGCAGCATTTTCGAATGTTAGCCTGAGGTTTAAAGAAAGCCATTAAATTAGGTACAGTTAAGTCGGAGGCTTATGGATCTCTTTCTATTTTGGTGCTTCTACATTTTTCGATTCATAATAAAAAGAAAACCGTGCATCCCCTAGACACCAATATTAGTTTAATTTACATTTGTTATTATGCTGACTAATCATCACACAATAATGCAATCATATTAATATAAAAAATGGGTGCTGGGCTGTTGGTCTGTTCCTGACAGGCATATTGACTATTCAAGATTTTTAGATATTGATTAGGTACATCAAAATGTTTCAAATTTGTAAACTGATTCTGCTCACTCTGGCTTCCATTTATTTTCTTTGAAAAATCACAAGCGTGTTTCACAAAGCCTTGCCTTTTTGTCTTTTGTTCTTGTTCATTGAGTCATTCCATTTGTTGTCACAGATGTAGTAATAACTGGCTAACATTTGTATTTGTAAAAATGAAGACCAGATGTTCACCCCAAGTTTAAGAAGAAATGCCTAGGCCATGGATTAAGTCAATGGCTAGACTGGAGGTCTAGCATGTTTGTGCATTAATAACTGCCTGGAGGCTACTGAGGTCTGCCACTGGCTGGGTGTTAAATATTGTTAGTTTCAGTTTATATACAATGTTTATTACACATTTCTCTAATAAAAACGGTGGTTCTAGCCGTATTCTAATTGAGTTATCAAGTCTGCTTTGGGCTGTAGATTAACAGTTAAGTTTAGAAGACTTAAAGAGATCAGCGTACAAGACTATACTGTTAGTTAATTCTTATTTAAAACTGATATTTAAGTCTTTTATCAGATATAAGTTAACATGCCACATCTATCAGTCTGTTCACTTATCGTTTAAACCATTCATCAATTTATTTTTCTACCGTATATGCTATGAAACTAGGAATCCAATAAATATTATCAATTATTCTACACATTTTTCCATTATTTACAGCTACTCCTCACTAACTGACCGGGTTCCGTTCTTACTACCCGGTCGTAAAACGAATTGGTCGGTAAGTGAGGTCTATATACAGGGAAATTTCCCTGAACATAGAGAAGCACAGCAGAGCAGGGAATCCCTCAAATCTATGTTCGGGGAATGTTCCCAAACATAGATTAGAGGGATTCGCTGTTCTGTTGGGTATGTCTACGTTTGGGAAAATTTCCCCGAACATAGACAAGCGCAGCAGAGCAGGGAATACCTCAAATCTATGGTCTCCTAGATTAGTAGCTCGTAAGGTGTCTTCTAAAATATCTATTTGTTCTATTATCTTTCTGACCATATCATTTCCAATATCAGTCAAATTGTCGTGTCACACAGGTACCAATATTTCTCAGTGAAAATGGTAAAATAAATTGAATAAGACCAAGAAATTCTAGCCATGGCATCACACTCCATTACAGATTTGGAAAGATTATTAATTAGCTAATTCTTCACTAATTTTAACATGGAAGACTAACATGCTAACTGCTTAGTGAAGGACCCATCGATATTGGTGTACTGTGATATAGTGGTAGGCTTAACACAACATGACCATATGGTGGAACCGAATCCCCATATTTCTTTGTTAAGATAGGAGATTTTAAGTAGTCGTGTAAAATGTAAAACTGTATTTTTTTGTGTGTGTGCACTGTTCCCTAATCTCTATTTTGTAAACATTTTTATATTTACGGCAGCGTGTGACAACATTTGCCCTTTTTCCAAGTTAAATTATTGATAACAAGTTAACTTTAAGGAATGGAGGAAGGGTACAACATTGCACCTTTGCCTCATATCTCCTTCATGACTGTAACCTAAAGGAGCATTTCCTTTACCTTATTAGTCTGGAAGAACATTACTAAAGAATCAGATCTCTAATGTAAAAAAGAAAAAGTAGCGTCCTGCTGCCCCTGTACAAAGTGTAGAGATTTTTGGATAAATAACTCCATATCTGGGGCTTCAACCCCCAAAGCATCCCCAAACAACATCTCTCAATTTAATGTTCTTTTCTGTCCCTCCATCTTGAACTAGATGCATTATATTCATATTTATAACTTTATGTAATCAGGGGCGTGGCTTGGATGCCGACCGAGATGGACGTGTAAGCTGCGAGCTCCGCTCCACCGGTCCCTACACCGCCCTAATAAATAGCTCTCACCAGCGCTAATGGGTCGGAGCCGAAGGGGTGAACCTTCAGGGACCCCCAGGGGATCCCAATCGCAGCACTCAGTGGGCCCGATGGACGATTATATCCAGACGCCGGCAGACACACGCGGCGAGGCCAGAGGCTCCAAAATGGCGTCCGCTTCCTCCGCACCCGGAGCCCCCTCTGCCTCCACGCTGGATGGCATCGGGGAAGAAATCCACACTATTGCGGCCTCCATGGCCACCAAGGCTGACCTACTGGTACTTACCACCACTATACAGGATGCCCTGCGGGCTGAAATGGCCGGAATCCGGACAGAGGTGGCAGCGCAGGGTGCCCGAGTTCTTGACCTGGAGCGCTCCCACGAGGCCCAACATGCCAGACTGACTTCGACCGACACGGCCGTTGCTAGGCAAGGGGACATGCTCCTACAGCTCAGAAGAATGGTGGAGGACCTCGACAACTGCGGGCGCCGCTGCAACATCCGCGTGCGCGGTATGCCAGAAGCTGAAGGCGAGGAAAACATTGAAACAAAGCTGACAGCCCTTTTCCGCCTGATTTTGCCCGGTGACACCCCAATGGAGATCAGGTATGACAGGGCACATAGGGCGCTCAGACCTCGCTCCCTAGAGGAGGGCCCAAGGGACATAATATGCTGCCTGCATTCATTTGCTGTGAAAGACGCCATTATGAAGGCGGCCAGATCCCACCCCACATCGGAATACAAAGAGGCACGTATATCATTATTTAATGACCTATCTCCAGTTACTCTCAAAGCTAGGAGAGCGCTGCGGCCCATCACGACGCTCCTTAGGGATCACAACATTACCTACAAATGGGGCTTTCCGTTCGCCCTTCTGGCGAGACACCAGAACGTCTGGGTGTCAATTCGCTGGCCGGAAGAGGTCCCCAGGTTCCTGGAGGACTTGGGCCTACCGCCTGTACCTGTACCTGATTGGGTCCTGGGCCCGCTAGACGTTGGCCCGAGACCGCAACGCGCACCCCGCCGACGCAGGGGAAGGTCCCCACAGGGCCCGCCTCGCCGCCGTCAAGACGCAGGAGAGGCTCAAGAGTGACAACCGCCGCCTAGACGGCACTGATCCGCCTGGTTGCTGATACCCTGTCTGCCCCCGGGGACCCCACATCCATAAAAAAAAAAAAAGCCACCTGATCCGAGCTAAAGGGCTCAGCTGATACGCATACAACGGTCCTGATATCATCACGAGATTGGAAAGTGCTGAGCACTGTCAACCTGGACCTTGGGACTGACCCAACCTCGCACTATGCACAATCATAACTCCACCTGAATGGAATAGCGACTCCCCGGGATTGGACGCACACCTGGCAACGAGACAACTTAGACTGACCTCCCTTTTGTGCACTTATAATAACGACCCCGTTACACCTTTTTTTTTTTTGCCCCCACGGTCTCATGACCCTCCAGGAGCGTTCTCAGGGGCCCGTGGGTGTGACCTTGGGGTGGTGGGGTGATTAGGGGGGAGTTCTGGGCACATTTTGTTCCTGCGCTGACACGACCACGGCTGCTTTAACTTGGCTACACATGGCTTAGTGCCGTGAGTGGAATTGCCTCTGACATCACCAACATGCCCAAAATAAACAGCGAACTCGGAAACTGGACCCAGAACTGTCCGCACCTGCTAAGTATCTTTACTTGAAGTTGTTCCGCTTAATTGCTTTTTCTCCTTTGTTATTTATTATGCTAAATATTGCTGATATTCCGGCTGTATCTCCTGAATGGGTAGATTGTACCAGAGGGACAGATGGGTATGCGAGTAGTTACCATGAGGGCTAGAGGGGCCAGCCAATTGGAACACCTCCATGGGAACTTTAGGGAGTTAGCTACTTTCAGTCGGCACCATGGGGAAGGCGCCCTGGGATTTCCCATACCTCACCCCGAACACAGCGCACAACATGAGGGACAGGGACACTATGGCTAGGTATCCTCATTAATCCGGAACTAGGTATCCGGGCAGACTTGGGATCGTTATATTTCTCATGACACATCTCGGAAGGTGGGAGGGGGACACAACTGCTATGGGGGGCTTGCCCCGGGGCGGAGGGGGTGGATAGACTTCCTGGTGGGGAGTGCTGGGGGGGACGGTGGATAAATGTCATTGCCGGTTGTTGTTGATACTCATACTGTTACTATTTACAACCATAACGTTTAACCTGCTATATTTCTGTTTGATCCCCTGAATGTTTGCTCCTCCCACAACTACACACACTTGGGCTGGGCACTGGTTGGAACGAGATAGACGGGAACCCGACTTACCCACGACACACAGACCACACTAACTCGGGTTTGGACTCCGACCACTGCTCTACACTCTCACTTGCGCAGAATCCTCAAGGGAGCCACAGGCTCGTTCACCCACCGATCTGGTTATCGGGGTGACACCTGGCCACTCCTACTGAGACACAAGTGACTCTCCTCTTTTAGGAGATCTCGGGGTAACACCCACCTTTTACCCCGCTGGGGACGTACCCCAAAGGAGGGACCCACTCAGCCCACCCTTATTTTATTATATATTTTATTTTATTTTTACTCACACACTCGACAGTCCCCTATTACCGACACCACTCGCATACTACCCTTAAATACACTCACACGCACCCACCCACATTCACACCAACCCTCGCGGCTGCGGCACACGTTCTGACCTGACACAGATAACGAGGGGGGACGCCTCCTGAACGAGACCCATAGCCCACGGGACGCTTGACTACCCACCCATAACTAGCACTGAAACGGACGCATAGGAAACTACACCTCATAGTCACGCGTACGCCCTCACTAGTTGGCATTGTCTCCCTGGCCACTCGCCCCACCTGGATACCCCCCTAGGAGCCGGAGCACATGGCCACAGAGGAAATTATGGTGTATAACCGCGCTCCCCTGTCCGTCATGACCCTCAACTGCAGAGGCTTGAATATACCGGAACGCCACTCTCACCTACTAAGAATTCTGCGACAGAAACACATATCGATAGCGATGCTACAAGAAACCCACTTCTGGGAAAACGCCGCTCCAAAACTCCGAAGCGCTCATCACCCATTGCACTACTGCAACAATCATCCGACTGCCCGTCGGGCGGGGGTTGCGATACTGCTTGCTGCAGACCTAGATTTCCAGGAACTGGATAGATTGGCTGACGATCAAGGGCGCTTCCTTTTCCTGAAAGGAAGATAGCCGACAGAATGTACACTCTCGCGACCATATACGTTCCCAATTCGAAGCAAGCACAATTCCTTCGTGGGACGCTAAACAAACTGCATGGATTCTCGGAGGGAGCACTGATAGTGGGGGGGGACTTTAATGCCCCCTTAGACCCTATCATGGACTCATCCACTGGCCATAGCTGCCTCTCACAATCTCGCATTAGGTCCATTCGCAAAACGCTAGGTGAGCTAGCATTGGTGGACTGCTGGAGGACGCTTCACCCCTCTATCAAGGACTACATACATTACTCGGTGATCCACAAACGCTATTCCCGCATAGATTACGTGTTCATCAAGCAAGAGGGGCTCTCCCGTTTGCGCACAGCCTCTATAGAACCGGCCACTTGGTCGGACCACGGCTCAGTATGGGTCGAATTGGAATCCCCGTTGTTTAAGCCCGCAACATGGACGTGGCGCTTGAATGAATCCCTGCTCCAGGACTCTGGGGTAAGAGGGGAGGTCTCGCAGGCACTGGAAAACTACTTTGCTGAGAATGGAACAGATGAGATATCTCCGGTGTCGGTGTGGGAAGCCCATAAGAGTGTTATCCGTGGTACCCTCATCGGCATCGCATCTCGCAAAAGAAAGGAATCCACCCGGGCGATGACAGACGCGTATAAATCCATCGCACGCCTGGAATCCCAACACAAACGTTCCCAACTAACCTCAACATATGGTGAACTGACGGAAGCTAGACGAACTTTGCAGGCCCTACTCACGCAAAGACACCACCGCTCGCTCCAAAGATCGAGGTCCTTCTTTTACACACATGCAAACAAAGGTGGGAAATTCCTCGCCCGCCTCTTGAAAGGAGACACACCACGCACTCAAGTGAGAAAACTTCGCTTATCAACAGGCAGTATATCACCTTATCCTGAAGAAATAGCAGGTGAATTCCGGGAATATTACAACTCCCTCTATAATCTCTGCCCACCGGAGGACACAGCACATAGACGGGAATGATCATTACTCATACAAACATACCTGCGAGACAATGTGCGGAAACGGATGAACCCTGAGGCGGCAGATGTGCTTGACGAATCGATTAACACGGAGGACTTAGCCGCAGCGTTGAAGGGCACAAAAACTGGATGAGCTCCTGGACCAGACGGGTTCTCCACAGGGTACTATAAACACTTTGCTACGACACTCCTACCATGGCTAACGAAAGCTGTCAACAAAGTCGCGGAGGGGGGACACTTTGGCACGGAGTCCCTGACGGCAACAATCGCGGTCTTGCTCAAACCCGGGAAGGACCCGGAACAATGTGGCAGTTATCGCCCGATCTCTCTGCTGAATGTGGACACGAAACTCCTGACGAAAGTATTGGCAACTAGACTTCAAAGGACGTTGCCAAGCCTTGTTCACGCAGATCAGACTGGTTTTATCCCAGGTCGAGATGCACGAGACATCACGTTACGCCTATTTTCTATACAACATCATGCACGGAAGTTTCGGAAACAACTCCTACTATTGTCCACAGACGCCGAAAAGGCATTTGACCGGGTCAACTGGGAATACATGTTCCAAACCCTCCGGTTTATGGGTTTTGGCCAGAGAACCATGGCGTGGATTACTGCCCTATACAGCACACCGAGGGCGGCGGTACGCGTCAATGGAGCGCTGACCACGAGTTTTGGAATTGCGAATGGAACCAGGCAGGGTTGCCCCCTATCTCCGCTCCTTTTCGCACTCTCTCTGGAGCCGCTTCTACAAGCGATCCAGGACCGTCAGGACATACACGGTTACACCTGGCAGGACGCGGAACATAAGGTGGCTGCTTATGCGGACGACCTTTTGTTCTTTGTTTCCCAGCCTCGGATCACACTGCCATGTATACTCTCTGAGATTGATAGATTCGGCCGAATCTCTGGGTTTAAACTCAATCTGGCAAAATGTGAAGCACTAAATCTCACCGTACCCACGGCGGATTACGTATCCCTCGGCCCACTCTTCCCATTTCGTTGGTGTACGGGAGCAATGAAATACCTCGGCATATGGATCACCACAAACCCACAGGACATATACCAACGCAACTTCACGACCCTACTGCACGGCATTGAATCAGACTTGAAAAGATGGTCCTATCCACATATCACATAGCACGGCCGGATAGCGGTCCTTAAAATGAACGTTCTCCCGAGAGCTCTATACCTATTCCAGACTATACCGATGGCACCGCCGGCAAAATTCTTCTCGACTCTGAAATCAGAGGTCATCAGGTATGTATGGAGGGGAGAAAGATCCAGGATACGCCATGAAATACTATGCATGCCCAGACATCGGGGGTTTAGCCCTGCCCGATTTTAAAAAATACCACCAAGCAGCGACGTTGCAACGGATTTTGGAGTGGCACGAATTAGAGACGACCAAACAATGGGTAATCCTGGACCGAGAAGGAAATAGTGCAAAACTGAATGCGGCAATCTGGAAAAGACGGGCAACGAGAGGCAACAGAAGAAGAGACGATGACCCAGTTACACAAACACTCCTCACATGGGAACAACTCAGGGAAACACCGCAAATCTCCCCGACCCCCTGCCCATTGCTGCCGATTGCTCATAACCCCGGTATAGGAGGCGGTCTACCGCCAGACGCCTGGTCTTTCTTGGGTGAAGCAGAATACATTCCAATACATAAGGTCATTTGGGATGGCGCCCTGCAAACTCTGGACGCGCTACTGGAATCACGGCCGCGCTCACACATGGCGGTTTTTCGATACATGCAACTGAAACATTACTTCAACTCACTCCCGCACAAAGAAAAGCTACGAAGAGACCTCACATGGTACGAACAACTCTGCTCCAATGGCACATCATTAGGGAAAGCTATCTCGAATCTCTACCAATACATACTGACCAGCCCCGCCTCAGAAAACAACCTCTTCAAACGACACTGGGAACGAGCCATGGCTAAGCCCTTTACACCAGCACAATGGGACAAGGCCTTGATATGGCAGCACAAAAGCTCCTCCAGCTCTCACTATCAAGAGGTGAACTACAAACTGCTTTCCATGTGGTACCGAACACCCGTACTATTACATAGGATTTTCCCCACTACGCCACCAACGTGTTGGAGATGCCAGGAGGAAAGGGGGAACATGCACCACATATGGTGGGAATGTAAACACATTGTCCCATACTGGGACCAGATCAAATCAGACATTCAACTAATCCTGGGAGATGACCTTGAATGGTCGGAGGAACTAGCCTTGCTACACATATCCACACGACCACTATCCACATACAAAAAATCTATCATGCGTCACCTACTGAATGCGGCCAAATCGCTCATACCGGTATACTGGAAGAAACCAGACATCCCGACAAGGGAGGAATGGATCCACCGAGTTGAGGATATCAGAGCAGCGGAAGCTCTGAAGGCGGAGATGACGGGCAGGGAAGCTCAACACGCTGAAGCATGGGCACCGTGGTATACCTACCGTGCACAACCGTAGGGGGGTCCGGGGGGGGTCTAGGGCAGGGAGACGATAGGGGGCTCACTACACTCGTGTGACATGAATCACACTTTGTACCGACCATCTGACGACCGCAGACTCAGTCGGCACACCTGACACTCCATCCACAACGTTTGGGGGATAAACACATCTCCGCCGCTCCAATAAGAACACGAGATCCCAACCAACACGACAGATAGCCCTGACCCACAGTAACTCCCTAGGTCAAGGGGGGACATCTTAGAGCTTTGCCCATATCTCCACAGAACCACAAGGAGGGGTATGTCGAGCACATCTGGATATGACACGCATACCACCTCTGTAAGACAACGCTGACGGTCGGACCAACGGACGTGTGCAGCAGCCCCGAGACATCGCAACACACACATACACCGCGACACTTTACCCCTCCTGATGAACCCTGGAAAACACACGCTCCGCGCCCACACAGACCCAAGCAAGGGCCCTCACGGTTGACCTCACTTTGACATACTGCAGTACGACAACATGATAACTAACAAGAACCTCAACTAGGTTGTTAGCTACCGCACCCAACTCGGATGAGTTCAAACCCACGGGAAGAGGTCGCAAACCTCGCACAACCGACCAAACCTGCCCACTTCAATAGAAACATCTCGATTGTCCTATGGACGGGGTCACCGCCTGTTGTAAATGGATTAAAGGGGGGTATACTGACTACACTAAACCCTGGGTACATACGGATCTCTTCCCACTACTCTCCATGTCCCTACACTGTGGATTTCGTATCAGACAGACATCACACACTCCTACACATGACCACTAGTTAGAACACCATCCTTCACACCGAAACACACAACATACACTCACCGACAACTACTCTGGATTCATTCCAATCAAGGAACCGCATCCTTAGAGTACCTATGAACGCCACCATGCCCATGTAGCTCTAGCTTTACCTGGAAGCCCCTAGCTCCAGGATACACTGAGACGACAATATTTTGCAATCCACGCTTTAGAAAATAAACACAATTGTACCCTGTCACTGGTTGTGTTTTGGAACAGGGAACATCCCTGAATATGTACATGTATATGTTATACTTCAAAATTGCTACCTTCACTGTTTGATTGATGTGGGCCTGCGAGCCCTACATTTATTGTACCCAATTGCTAATAAAAATCTGATTAACAAAAAAAAAAAAAACTTTATGTAATCAATTCCTTTATACAAGATTGATATATTTTAAAAAATTATATATTTAGCAGAACTGAGTAAAAAATGTGCACCATGTGAAGATCTCTTTAAAGATATATAGATGCCCATAATACTTTGCAGAATGTTATTTGGAACAGCAGACATGGCAAGTATTGTCTACTTTGGCTTTGGTTTTTTTATCTAGAAATGTATATGGTGTGTTTGGAAACCATGTATTACAACTAAAGAGTGCCCATGTGTTACATATTATTAAAATGGATCCAGGCTTGTAGACAGCTAAAATAAAACAATGCTTCTGGTACACTGAAGCCTTTATCTTCAGCCATGCAATACACATTATAATGATAATCTTGCAAGGATAGGTTAAAGAAAAGATGTTGAACTTATATTTGGAATAATGTTTTCCAGCATTGTTGGATGGCTCCACCGATAAAACCCCCCAAGTCAAATCATTACATTTGTATTTATGTAACATGTGGTCATTGTTTGCTGTCTTTATGTTTTGACATGGTTAATCCATGGTGACATTTCAACACAACATCAAGGTAGGTCAAAGATTGGTGGTACATCAACAAGGAAGATGCACCAGTGTTCCAGTGACTCCTGTCATATATAAATATTGTGTATTGCCGAAGTGTAACATAAAAAAAAAGTTAAAAAATAAAAATTGTGAAATATAAAAAAAAACAATAATAATAATAATTGCCTGCAAGACTTAAAGGGACACTACATTATAGTCACCAGATTAACTACATCTTAATGTGGTTGTTCTGGTGAGTATGATAATTCCTTGCTTTTTAAGATAATCACTACTTTTTCACAAAAAAGGCAGTGTTTACATTGCTCTATAGGAACACCTCTGGTAGCAGTCACTCAGACAACTACTAGAGGTGCTTCCTGGATCAGAACTGTATGCAGGTGCTGAATTTTCCCCATAGAGATACGTTGATTCAGTTAATCTATGTGTATTCCTGACACTGTAGTGTTCCTTTAACTGCACACCTATTGGATATAGTAAACCTAACTTTGCTCTAAAGCATGTGAGTAGATTTTCAAGCATTTATTTTGTTTTACACTCTATTTCTACAGTGTGCACTATTGTGGTTTTACTTCTTTTTTATGTATACCTATGGAGAGAGATCTGCATCACCTATATCCTTGAGTGGGGATCATATGACTTCACATTATACCTTTGGATCCATTACTCAGCCTCCAGAATATGCAAGTGCACACTTTTATATTTACCTACTCCTGCCAATTAAGTCGACATGCTGCATTATATATTTTTTCTTTTTCTTCCATATTTTTATG